CACGCAAAGCTTGCAATTTCCCCCTTTCTCTGGCCCTCCCCCCTTGACCAGTCCATCAGTGTCCAATAGTATTCGTTTTTGATGTTTGAGGAATGGCTTTGAAGTTTGGTGCATGTCAATGTAGTTTTGCATTCTGTTGCCAGGCTGTGTATCCTTGGCGGCTAGTTTATTCTGGATTTATATCTCTGGTTCCTGTCAGCTTGTCTCTCACTCCTTTTCCTATCCATTTCCATGCCTGACTTTTATTTCAATTGCCTTGAAGTATGTAACATGATTAACTGAATAATAAGGTATCAGTACACAATCAAAGCTCAACCATTTCAATTTGGATGAGAATTTAAACCATCTCAGACAACTACCTTTCATAGCATCCATTCATTAGCCAAGTTGACATATTTATGGATAGACTCAGTAACTTTTGATTTTCTAAAGAATCCCAATATATTTTGTGATTGTGCAACAAACTGAATTTGAAGATGAAAAAAATATTTGAAGCATGTATAGGTGGTCAAGTTCCACTTTAAACATTTCAGTTCCTGTGATGGTGCAGTGGCCACCATATGAGATCAAGAAGAGATGCAGCTTTTTAAGAGTTGTTAGCAGGTACAACTCCTTGTCAAATCTGGACTGCTACACAATGATAATTTATTGTACCAGCATTTCTACTGATAAACACTGTCAATATAAATACAGATCAAATCATTCTGAAATTTAGATAAGCCATTTATTATATACACAGAAGATTATCATTTTTAGCATTTGGGAATATCCCATAATCCAAGAATGCAAGCATGCCATTCCAGTGATAGTTAAAGACATTTCTTCATTTCCAAGACGTTCTGATGTTCCCAACAACAGTATGCTTTATGCATGCCTACTCATCTACAATAAACTGAAATGTTTAAATTTCAATAGTGCTGTTAGCACTCAGTGAGATGAAATAATCTGTACTTGAAAATGAGTAAAGAACTCATTATCCTTGTGTTCTATCCTTTTCTCACTAAGAGAAACATTATTCAGACATAGGTGATAATTTATTTTCAACCTTCCTAGCTGCCATGTTTTTTGCAGAAATCAAACATTAAATTTAATTAAAGCATGAATCTGCATTGATTAGTCAAGATTTGATTTCTGTCAGTGGATTATCTGCTGCATTTTTCATTATCTCACACAGACCACAGAACAGTTTCTTTTAAATTAGAAAGACATGTTGGATTTTATTTGTAATTACTATGTGAACATTTTGGAACTTGCAATCGAGCACATTAGAAAGATGTCTTGGTGGGGAATGAGATAATTCTGGCTAGATCTACTTTCTGCAATAAGTTTACCAGAACACCTAAAATGTTTGCCTCTTGCACCCATCTTCAATAAAAAATATCAAATCAATAGTCTCTCTATATGCCTATTTTGCTTCTTAACTTTATTTTTAAACATCAGTTCATTAACTCTTTGTTTTACTCATTAGTTTCCTGTCCTACTCACTTCCATATTAAACTTTATTTTGTGAGACTAGGATGAAGCTGTCATACCTACAGATGAAGCATGCACATAAGCAGGATGTTCAAAAGCCAGGAATCTTGTCTAAAATATCCCTTAGGGAGGTAGTTAAGAAGGAGCCAAATCATTAAAGAAACAAAGAAAAAATTTCACCAAAAGAAGTTCAGCCTGAGCACATGGAACACTCCCCCAAAGTCCCATCAACAACTACCAGACTTGAAAATCAACAAATCAAGATCTGCCATTCTTGTGAATTCAAGAACTTTGGGGGATAAAAATGGTTCTGAATTCTGCCCACTCTTTTGAATTGTGTTTGGATCCAGACGTGGTGGCTTTTGTTCCTACGGCTAGCTCCTGATAGTCTAGTTGAGAAGGACATGGGCAAGTATGAGAGTATGTTTTGGCATGCACATGTGGGAAAGAGCAAATGCCAATTGTTACTAGTAAAGGTTTGCTGTTACTTTAAATCCATTGAATCTCTGTATATTCCAAAGAACCTGTTGTATCACAATGTTTGGTTGAAAATCTGAGTGTATCCCTAATTGATTCCTGCTATTGCTGAAAGCTGTATGTCCTGTCTGGTGTAGCAGCACCTATCTGGAAAACCCAGATACAAAGCAAGAGGGGCTTACAAGATCTGTGTGCTTCAACAGGCTGTGTGTAAATGATTGGCCATAAGCTGAACCTGGGAATACATATAGTCATTTCCATATTAACCGAACTCTAATAATTAGATTACCATTCAATTGCTGTGGGACATAGATGTCATTTCTTCATTTTGAAGAAAAAACACACTTTCTAGATCAGGCGTGTCAAACTTGCAACGTTGCGTGACGTGTCGTGATTTTTGCCATTGCTGGCAATGGGGTGGGCGCAGTTTCGCTATGATGCATCCGACCCGTGGGCCGGCAGTTTGACATCCCTGTTCTAGATCAAGCCAAAACATTTTGTAAGTAACATTTTGTTACTTACAGTCACCCACCAGTTGATTCTGGGATATGCATATACAGGAGATGGAACTATGTTCCTTTCATACCATTGGTCCCCCTGTAACAAGTATTTGCAGTAATGGTAACCCCAACCCAGAGGTAACACTGGATCTTCATGATCCTAGTGCTAGTCTTTGGTCTCTCCAAAAGATTACCTATATCTGTACAAATGCATTTCTGTGTAGAAACACCGAGTATGGAGATTTAAAACATCATATTTTTCTTAAGATTTCAAAGATCTAAAATTTTGGGGCCATTAGATATATTTTATATCTTGAGAGCTATGGTTGTTCAGGGGAAGAACTTACCCATTCAAAATTGCCTAACTAAAATGGAAAAAAAATGGCAGAGAGTACTGAGGGCATGGAGATGTCTGTTGTTATGGAGACAACACTGGGATCCCCAAGTCTAGCATGATCAACTTAAGGTAGAATGAAGCAACACCTTTATGTAGCAGATCTGAGAGGGGAAGAAGTTGCTACTGCCCAGCTGTTCCTTCTGAGCTTCCCGGCATCCTTTTCTCTTTGAGAACACAACTGTGTATACAGGTAGTCCTCGAGTTACGAATGTAATGGAGCCTGCCCGTTCCATTCATAACTCAAGAATTTGTGGGAGTGAATCTCGTACATTGAATGAGATCACGAACTGCTTTCACCCACGCTTTCACTAATCGACAGTGTGGGCGAATGTGCAATTTGTTAAGTGCACATGAAGCATCTCAGGGTGGGGAAGGCCATGGGGGGGCCTAGTGATGGAACAGGCCCCCAAAGATTCCCCAACCCACTAAGATACCTCATGCTTTCTCCTCCCTTCCTACCGCACGGGGCTCACCTTGCAAAAATCTGTATCCTCTCTGCCGCAGTTTATTTCCCTTTGAGGGAGAGGAGAGTCAGATTGGAAATGCTTTTCGAGTCGACAATGGAAGCTCCTGGGTACCGTAATATCATGTGAGTTCAAACACCCATTCTCTGCAAAAGAGATCATGGCCCCCAGAAGCTTCCATTCTCTGGGGGGGGAAGGGAAGTGTTTGCTTCATTTGCATGCCTATGGGACAAAGCGAGGAATCGGAGTCAGCCAAGCGCAGGAACCAATGCCACACATGGCCCGGGTATGCTGCTCGTTCGCGTGCACCGGCCTTAATTTGAGGCAGGAAGCCTTCAACTGAATGGTGGGAAGGGGGAATCATAGTCGCTCAGGTAGCTGCTGCTGCCAGCGGCTTGGGTGCCCCAGTTCCATCCAAGTTGGAAGAAAGAGGAGGCACGGCCTATCTGTCTTCCAATGGAGCGCTTCAGAAACAGAGCATTCCTCTCCATTTCTGAAGCTCCCCATTGACAGGCAAATGGACCTTCAAATCTCTTTCAGGTCTCCATTTGGAAAAAAATGTTTGAGCGACAGCAGCTTGGGTGCCCCAGTTCTGTCTTAGTTGGAAGAAAGCAGAGGTACAGCAGTGGGATTGCTCTCAATAAGGCTGGTGCATGCGAGCTAGCAGCACACCCAAGTTTTATTGAGAGCAATCCCGCTGCCGTGCCTCCGCTTTCTTCCAACTTGGACTGAACCGGGGCACCCAAGCCACTAACGGCAGAAGCCACCTGAGCGACTATGATTTCTCCTCCCCAACGCTTAGTTGAAGGCTTCCTTCCTGCCCTCAAACTAAGACCAGCGCATGTGAGCAAGCAGCACAACTGGGCCATGGATGGGATTGGTTCCTGTGCCCAGCCAACTTTGATTCCACGCTTTGCCCCATAGGCATGCAAACAAAGCAAACACTTCCCTCCCCCAGAGAATGGAAGCTTCTGGAGGTCATGATCTCTTTTGAGAGAATGGATCCTTGAACTCGCGCGATATTATGGCACCCAGGAGCTTCCATTGTTGGCGCGAAAAGCATTTCCAAGCCGACTCTCCTCTTCCTCAAAGGGAAAGGCAGAGAGGATACAGATTTTTGCAAGGTGAGTCCCGCGTGGCAGCAAGGGAGGGGGAAGCAGTTGTGGAGAGTGGGGGGGGGAATAGGGTGAATGTTGCAGAGCTTCTGCAGTCGTTCATAAGAACGAACGACTGCCATAGTGCTACAATATTTGTAATTTTGGGACTTGCTCATAAACACTAGGGGGCGCTGATCACATAACTTCGAACCGAGTTTTAAGTGAATGCTTGTAACTCGGGGATTACCTATATCACACAACCTGTCTTGCATTCCTTAAATTATCCTGTCGCCTTCAAGTGCAGTTGAGGATTCAGTCTCATTACCAGTTAAATATTTGTTAGTTCAGCTGTTTCTATAAATGAAATGGAGGAGAGCACTACCTTGTCCTTGGCAGGAGACAAACTGTTAAGTCTCCTAATTATTTGGATAAATGGTTTAGTTGTTAGGTACCAAATTTTTAGTGTAACCTAAATATACCAAAAATGTATAAATTTTATCCCATGGGAGACATTTCTCATGCAATCTCAAAAACATTTAAACTTCGCACCTTCTCACCCTTCTTATTCATCTAAACGATGTACAATACTAACCAGTCATCTCCCACATTGAAAGCATTGAGGCTTTTGGTGAATCCTTGCATGTTGTTAGGACTAACTCTCTGAAGGAAGTCAATATAATCTTCTGAATGAAAGCGACACATGTCATGCTGAGAAGCTTGATATGGCTTAAATACCTGCAGAAAAAAATGCTTTTGTTCACAGCTGAATTCAAATAGTAATGAGAGTTGCTATACTACAAATTTCTAATTTATGTTACGTTCTAGTCACAATTTCCAAATAAAATAATCTGTTCTTTTTAAAAAGTTATGCAGCATCTTAAACAATAACCATTTTATTACTGAATAAGCTTATAATAAGCTAGAATTCACTTTCTCAGATGCATGTGGTAGGTTACCATAAGCTGGCAAGCTTAATTACATTTGTGTATACACATCCATCTACATGCAATTGGGAAGGAAAGGATGGAGAAGACTTCAATTGGAGTAGGAAGAAACATAAACTGGTGTATAAAAAAGACAAAAGCAGTTAAAACTACTACTATTAGTAGTACTATTACTAAACACAATTCTTGAAGAGAATTGAATTAGTAACAGCACCCCAAACATGGGGACCAAAATATACACAACAATCAAGAGTAACTCAGCATTAATACAGGATCTAAAAACTTTTAGCTCTGGAACCACTGGGCTATTATGGGACTAAATGGGTATAAGACTAAATACTATCAAGACAAAGTTTCTATTGGTCAATGAGCATTATGACTATCAAATAATCAACCTTAGTGTGTGACCTGCAAATGTTTCTGGGGGATCTGCTATTGTGCCTCTCTGCACCAGCACCAACTTCTGAGTCATTTCCAAAGGCATCCCTAGTTAAAGAACACTGGAGAGATTCAATCAGGAGGTTATCAAATTTTCCAGATAATTGGTCACACCCATTCAAAAGTTGCTGCACTGGCTGCCAGTAGACTTCCCAAAACAGTAAAAAGTGCTATAAAGCTCTATGCAATTTGATACTGGATTATAATAGGACCACTTTACCAAGCCTAATTCTGCCAGTCTGATTTGCCATTAAGAGAAATCTGACTCCATATGAGGTGACATGGGTGTGGACCAGAAGATGAAGGTTCTCATTACTAGACCTATACTATGGGACATGATGTCCCAAAGGGAACCTTGGTCCAATCTTGCCTGTATTCATAAAGGTCCTAACCATTGTTTTATTTCAATGAGCTTTTGACCTAGGCAACCATGTGAATATAGTATTGTTTATTTACCAAATCATAATATCAATCACATCATAATTACCTTTTATATAAATCACATCACAATCACTTTTTAGTTGTTATTTTCCTTGCAAACCATTCAGAAACTTTCTATTTTTATGTCAATCTATGAATATCATATAATAAAATAAAAAGCAAACATATAAGATCCATTCATGTAGATGGAATAATGCTATATTCTATCGTTTTCCAGTAATTTCTTCTTATATTTATATAGAACAAATTGGGCAATAGTGAGAAAATTATGACACCTTTTTTCAGCTTTCCAAAATGATCTTAATATACTACCTTTTAAAAAATATAAAATGACTAAATTGTTATTTATCAAGAAATTTACATTATACATCTGTAACTGGACAGTAGCCAGCATATTTTAATAAAAATACATATATTCCATATATTGCTAATATATGGAATATATGTATTTTATACTACCATATTAATGGCCACTAATACTACCATTAATGGCCATTAATATACTACCATATTAATGGCCACTTATTTGGCTTTCAAGAATTGTCATTATATATATTGTTTATTCTGAGCTGTTGCTATCTGTCTTAGTGCTTAAGGCAACTTTAAGTGTAATACAATATAAAACAGTAATTTATTTTAAAGAAAACGTTACTGGCATTTAAAAAGAATCCACAGATAAAGCATAGGTTAAATGTACTCTGCAAACAAACTCCTCTTAACAATTTTGAAAAAATGAGTCCACACATACTTCACAAGACAGAAGCAACCCCAAGAAAGGCAAAACTTTCTAGATCTGTTTGCAGATCTGTTTTGGGATGATCTTTTCCAGTGTCTTCCCTGGTATTGATGTTAGCTTGACTAGTCTAGTTTCCTGGGTCTGTTGGCTCCCCCCCCTTTTTTTTGAAGATGAGTACATCAGCTCTTTTCCAATCCTTAGGTAGTTCCCTGGTGCTCCAGGATTTTTGAAAGATATGGTACAATGGTTCTGAGATGACAGGATGGATTTGATTTAAATTAAGTCGATTTAGATCACAATTTAAATTACGATTTAAATCATTAGTAAAAAGGCTTGATTTAAATCAACTCGATTTAAATCATAATTTTTAAAGAGCAACTGTCATCTCTGTCCTACAGCGGCTCTTCCTCTGACCTGCTGTTGACTCCCCGACAGTCTCATTCACTTTAATGGAACGGCTGGTTATGCGGCAGTGACACAACAAGATGAGGGATGTGGCAGGCAGTAGGTGAGTGGATGCCTGCTAACAGGCGCTGCTATGATGGATCTGAAATGACAGGTGCTCTTTAAATGTAAGGACTCATTCTTGCTGGTAATTAGAATCTTGAATATTATTATTTGCAAACAAAATGAAGGTTCATGATCTAGAAAAGAAAAACAAGCTTTCCTGCTTTATCAGGCCCCAGATGATTTCTCAATTTAGAGTGAACAAGTCCAAAGGAAGAGAATATTCTTTCAAGCCAGCAGAAGAGGCCACTGTAGTTAAAAGCAAAATCATTACTTCAACACTTTCTGAATCCAAGTACTTAAGTGACTTCCACCAGTTCACTGGTGAAACTTTCTTTAAAACCTCATCAGCAAACATATACGGTATTTCTTGAATGGTTTCCCCTTAGCTCTGAAGTTCATTATAGTTGGCACTAGAGATCGATGATTGCTGGATACCCATGTCATAGCTAACTCTTCTTCTTCAGCACTTAAGGTTTGACCCTTGTACAGGATATTGACAATGTTTGCGAGAAAATGAGCTGGAGACAGTGCTTGTCCTATTTGCCTTTTTAAATCTTGTAACTTCTGCTTGTCAGTGTGTAGTTCTGTTTTTAAGTGCTCACTCAGTTCCTTCCAAATTTCAACAGCATCAGCAATAAAACAACTATTTTTCTAGATTTTGTTTAAAGCTTCAGAAATGGGTTTCAGGATGCTCAGCATATGTTCAACATTTCTCTTAAGCCCAATGTTGAGGATTTTGGCTGTAGTAGTGCCATCTATTTTTTCTCAATTTTGCTCATAAACAGTCATCAGAATAGACCAGTTTTTTATGTATTGTTCAAAACAGTCCACTTCAGAGTTCCATCTAACATCTTGTGGGAGTGTTAGCTTGGTTCCCCCCATTATTTTCAGAGCTTATGCTGCAAAATTATTGTTACGGAAGTATTTAGCAATTTCAACATTACTCTTTACTTCTAGGACACAAAAATCTTTGGCTAGGAGGTGTACAAAATGAGCACTACAACCATATGTTATTAGCTTGGTAGTTTCTTCATGTTGTTCTAAATTTCTTCTCATTTTGGACACATTTGCAGCATTGTCTGTGACCAAATTGTGTACTTGACATTTGAATTTTTTTTGCATGTTATGATAACTTTTACTGCTACTTCTTCTAAGTATGCTGCTGTGTGTGCATTTCCTGAAGTATCAATTGTTTCTGCAAGGAATACATTTCCTTCTTCTGTTGTTATACAAGCACATACAATAGGATCATTGTGGACATTACTCCACCCATCAAGACTTAGGTTAACAATTTTACTTTCTAGACTTGTTGCACACTGCATAATGTCTTCATCATATACTTTATCCAGCAGTTCCCCTGCAACATCTAATCTACTTGGTGGACTGTATCCTAGTCTCAGTGACTGAATCATATTAACCAAGTGTGGGTTTTCAAGCAGACAGAAAGAGTTTGTTGCATAAACAAATGAAGCAATTTTTTTCAACAATTAACTCTTTTTCTAATCTGCTGGTTTTTATCACAAACTTATCTAAGATGGTGGTTCCACATGGTTTCTTGTTTTTAGGTGATATATTGTGGATATGTGTAAATGATGTGACTGATGCACTATCCTGGAGGGTATATCCAAATTTGGATATAAAAATATTTCGCAGTTGCGACTTGAGCCTGCTCTATGCCCCTAGTTGGGGGCGGCAAGGCAAGAGATATTGTAAAAAAAGAGTAAAACTGCAGTATGGCAGTTGAAAATGTCAAGGTGTTCACAATCAGACCGATCTGTCTGAACTCCCTATAATTACTCCCTTGACTCTGCTGACAAAGAGGGGANGTTCGAATCCCATAAAAAGGGTATGGCTAACTGATGAAGGCAAAAAAGCCAGAAATGGTCCATCTTAGTCTCCCAATTTAATTCTTTACTCTTTGTCAGAAAAAAGAAATTTGGATATAAAAATATTTCGCAGTTGCGACTTGAGCCTGCTCTATGCCCCTAGTTGGGGGCGGCAAGGCAAGAGATATTGTAAAAAAAAAGAGTAAAACTGCAGTATGGCAGTTGAAAATGTCAAGGTGTTCACAATCAGACCGATCTGTCTGAACTCCCTATAATTACTCCCTTGACTCTGCTGACAAAGAGGGAAAGAGAACCTGTGGCTCAGTGGCTAAATCACTGCCTAGTATGTATAACTTCCCAGGTTCGAATCCCATAAAAAGGGTATGGCTAACTTATGAAGGCAAAAAAGCCAGAAATGGTCCATCTTAGTCTCCCAATTTACAAAATTTTAAAAGGGAAAAAATGTCCAATTTAGAAATTTGATATTCTAACAGATCATTTCAAAATTTAGGAAAAATGTCTAGTTTAAAAATTAAAATGCTAGTTCATTTAAAAATGTCAAATTTTAACATTTTCAGTGTTGAATGAGACTTAAATGTTCATTCTTAACCCGTCATGGAGTGCTCTATTATTATCCCTTTCTTCCCTGCCTTCTTGTGATCCTTTCCCTCCTTGCCTTCTTATGAGCTTTATTTATCCATTTCTTCTCTGCTTTTTTAATGTTGCATAATTATCTACTCTGCCTACTTATTTATCCCTTTATTCTTTGTCTTGTGTTCTGTAATTGTATTTTTATCCTCTCTTCCTACTTGCCTTTCGCCTGCCACTACTGGATATTCAGCCTTCTCTGCTTTCCTCAGTGACAAAGTAGGTCTCATTATACAAAAGCCACAATTGTGGTACTTGCCTCAACACTGCCCTGTAAGTAAGAGTGGAGTTTGTGTCATGATGTTACCATGAACATGTAATCATTTTTATATACTGTACTGTTGTTTGTAGATTTCTCTGCCAGTGAATTTGCAAGGGTGAGAGTGGATTCAAACCTGTTATATAAAAGGTACCTTATGAACATGAATCAAGAATTCCAGGACTTCTAAACACATTTGAGACATTGCAGATCTACAGTGGGATTACAATTTATATGTTTAACAAGATAGATTCTAAATCACAAAACTAATGTCATAATATGCCACATAATACTGCTTTTAATTTATACATTTATTTTAACCATCCATGCCAAGAGAGTGGTTAGCAGTCAATGCAATTTAATGAGTTGAACTTTCTTCCTTCCCTGCAGCTTAAACAGGTGATCAGAGACTATCCTGGCAATTTGTTTGACTGGGTAATATAACTACCTGCAGCTGTGAACTCTGGCATTTCTGCCAATCAGTAGGAAGGTACTGAACCATCTTTTCCCATGGGAAAGGAAGGTGGGATCAGATCTTCCTTAGCTGAAATTGACAGAAACAAAAGAAGTCAAATATATCATAATTTTGAATTTGGTAAATAATGTCATTCCAAACTATGGATCCCTGCTTTGAGATATTGTCTTCTGTGTAATAGGGAAGTTTTACTATTCTTAAAAGTACATTATATGGTGCATGCTGGCAAACATATATAAATTCCTTAAAATTAGTAATAATTATCTAAACACAAACATGTTAAGTCCAGCACATGAAACACTTACAATCATCTTCTTATAGAGTCCATAATGTAGCACCAAACTGTGGGTCAATGCCAACCGATGTGGTTTCATGGGATGTCCTGCTCCTAATATGAAAAAAGAAAAGAAACACATATAATTAACGTCTCCACAATAGAAGCACAGGAATCTACCTAACATTACCACAAGTCCTCAAAGAATAAAGAATATGGGAGGCCTTTTAAAAGACTATTGATTCATTGACTGGGATCTAGACAGCTAAGACATATTTGTGTTGTTTTGGAAATTTACTTAGTTTAAACTATGTAAACAAGTCCCCTGTGCAACCATATTTTTTCACAAAGTGATCTTCAGTAATTTACATGTACGCATCTTGAGATGGACCTGAAGCTCTATAAACAACTGCAATAACCTTCATAAAATAAAAAGTATGGATACTTGATACAATTCTGTACAATAATATCAAGAATCTATGATTCTGCACATACCCTCTAACATTTCATAGATACAGGCACTCTCACAGAATAATGCTTGAATTCTAGCACATTCCATAAATACAGATACAATTATACTCCACTAGGAATAAATAGCATGCCACCACCGGTATATGTTAAAACTATCAGATCTGGACTGCAAAAACCAGGCGCTCTGGACTTTTGCAAACCACAAGCTGTAATCCATATCATTAGATGTATTACTCTGAAACAGAAGTTGGTTGAGTCATTGATCTTGTGTGTGTGTGTGCGCGCGGAAAAGTAAGCACTGCCGTAAGAACTAAAGCAAGCTTTTGAAAGGCACAAAATTCTCAAGTTCATGATGAATATGACTGCAGTTATTATAATGAAGGAGCAGTTCAAACGCAATTAAGAGCACCCGGAAAGACTTCTCTTTTCTCAAAACATGTAGTAGTGTGAAATGATTCCTGCCAGGTCTCCTACATGTGCACAGAACAATCTTTCAAATCAAGAAAGAAAGTTGAAGGGTTTTTTTCAGCGTTGCCGCAAAAAACAAAGACAAGACCAAAACAAAACCGACGCCTTTCTGATAAAGAGGGGAAACTGTAGCACATGGCTGTTGGGAAAAGTCCGATCCTTTCCTCAACCGAGGAAAAACCAGATAGCCTTCGCTCGATCGCACCCTCTACAGAAAGCACGAACATCCCAAGACTTCCCCATTACCGCTGCTGCGCACGCACCGTAATGAAAATTGCCCACATCGGGATCATAGAAATAAGCCACAGTCTTCGCCATACCCTCCACCCTCGGAAGGACTTGAGTGCGGAATGACCTCCCGGTTGCGTCCCTCCACCTACCGGCTTACGTCACCGCGTCGCCTAGGCAACGTGTGGAAGCTCTACCCGGGGAGAAGAAAGGCCTTTCTTTCCCTGCACGCAGGCGCCTAGTCACCGCCTCCTTCATCTGGTCTGGGGTTGGGATGAGTTGCTACATAGCGAAGAGAAATAGGTCCGTGAGGAATCACGTTGCTTCTTAGTCATGCTTCAGACTCAGATGCGGTTTGGTTTGCTGTTTTTGTTTAAACAAGGCTGCCGTATCTGAGCGGCCAAAAGTTGAACAATCACTAAGCGACAGTAAACGAGTTTTTTTTTAACCTTTTCTTTCCCCCTAGGTTTCATCTGGATTTTCGCAGCCCAACTTCTAAATAATTATATTTAAATATTTTAAATAGCGCTAATATGAAATGGAAGACTTGCTTCTAACAACTTTTAAAAATACTCTCAAAAGCCATAGGTTCGATTCTGTAAGATACAAGATTGTGGTGGACTCTTCAGCTAGACAGAAGGGAGGGATTAAGAGAGGCTAGAGTGGCTGGGTTGCAGGAAGTGGCGTAGGCCCGACCTAGAATCCTTGTGCGTTGCCAGGAAAGTAATGAGTTATAAAGTGTGGGAAGTCAGAGCCCCAGAGAAGGAAATATTAAAAGGGCAGAAAAATATATTTCCTCAAAAGTATTTTAAAAAGCAGAAACCAACTTTGCCCATAAGTCTCTGCCCCAAGCAAGAGCTAGCTCCGTACAAATGCAGATGTAAAACCATCAGAAAGTTGAAGCCAGAGCAATCAAGAAGACAAAGAGACTTAAAATCTGCATACCCCACCCAAACTCTAGGAGTCATTAGCCCCATCACCTGGGAAGCAGGATATGATAATAGGATTAAACCACAGATATCAAGGCCTAGAAAAACACTCAGAAATAGCCTCAAAGTTCATGCCACAGGAACAGGAAACTATTCCAAACAGGGCTAGAGGGGGTATAAAAACCCACTACCCATGTGCTCAGCCTCTTTCTCCTCTGCTCTTTCTTGCAAGGACCATTTTTCTGCTTCTTCAATAAACTGTAACCTACTTCCCAAAGCAGTCGCCATGTTGCTTATTTATCCCGGGCTTGGATGAACCAAGATGAAGACTTTACTTCTATCAAAAGGATTTAACTTTTTCATCAAAAATGAAAACTAATATATTGTTATATGCTTTTGCCTACTTTCCTTTGCAACCAGTGGTAAATTTGTTTGACCAATAACCAGCCAAGACACAGTGAAGACCTTTTTATTTAGTTTATTACAATAAGTGGGGAGAAGCTATCTTAACTTAGTTCTCTCCAAAGTTCATCATCTCAAATCAACATCTTTATACATTGCCTACACCGGCCGCCCGTCCCTCCTCATTCACCACTGGTTGAGGTACTATGAGGTTATATTCTCTCCAACAGCCTACAGCAGGGGTGTCAAACTGCCAGCCTGTGGGCCGGACGCATCACGCGGAACCCGCGCCCACCCCATTGCCAGCAATAGCAAAACAATCTTGATACGTTGCGTGACTTCATGTGACGTCGCAAGTATGACATGTCTGGCCTACAGGTTCCCTGAGACCCTCCCTAAACCCTACATCACATATCACATGTATACTATGTTGGGAGGAATTCCCCCACTTGGATTTTTCCAGCTGGGATTTCCACAATCAGTGCCCAAAGAATAAATAGAACGAGAAGCCAGCTACCGGAAAGAGAGGTTTAATCACGAGATCAAAGTTGAGTGACAATTCAGCATACATCCCTGGCTAGCTAGGAAAAATGGTCTCCAAGCGTGAGTTTTTTATACCTTTTCTTGGTTTTCTAAATTGTCATTTCTGATTCATGGTTTCAAAACTCTCATTTCTGATTCGTGGAGCAGTGTCTATTGATGGGCTAATTTCTTTATTCGATCTTGCTCAGGAAAAGTTTAATCCCTGCCTCAGGAAAGAATCTGGAGTGTTTCTATGTGTTTCATGATTATTATTATGTATTTTCCTATGTCTCTGTTCCAATCTTGTTAGTCTTAATTGCCGATAGCCAGCCTCGCATTCCTTCGGTTTATCTTAAATGTTTAAGCTGATACTTTGTCTGCGTGTTAAGTGTTTGTTTGCCTTGGACCGCTTAGCTTGGTGCAGAATCAGATTTTTCTTTGCATTGGGTTTTTTCTGTATTGGCCAATGTATTTCTTGTTTGATTAAATCAGACATGTCAAACACAAGGCCCAGGGACCGGATGCAGCCCACGACATGGTTTCATGTGGCCCACGAAGCCATCCTGGAAACAGTAATGGAATGGCCCCCGCTGCCTTGACCCCGGCCCAGGCCGCCCAGGAGTCAACGTACAATTTTGTGGTGGCCCTCTATGCTGAAACACATTTAGTTTTAGCTCCAACAAGGCCATCTGGAACCAGCAAGGGACCGGCCCCTGCCGCGTTGGCCCTGCCCCCTGGGCGCACGCTGGGGAGGTGTCACCCTTTGTGAGGAATGAAGAAATGCACCCTCGCTTGGAAGTGGCCAGCAAATGGCCCTCGCCTATTTCACATATCTGGCTTGATGGGCTCTGGGGGAGGGGTTTCAGCAGGTAGCAAGGCGCTCTCCTCACAGCGCTGAGAGGCTGAGCCAGGCGGCGCAAATTCAAAAAGAAGCACGCTGCCACTCAGTCTCCAGCCTGCCTGATTTCAGCAGGCAGTAAGGTGCAAAGCTGGCAAGCTTCGCACTGCCCGGCTCAGCCTCTCGGGACTATGAGGCGAGTGCCCCGCTGCCTGCTGAAACCAGGCAGGCTGGGGGCTGGGTGGCGTCGCGCTTCTTTTCGGATTTGCGCTGCCTGGCTCAGCCTCTCGGCACTGTGAGGAGAGCGCCTCACTGCCTGCCGAAACCAGGCAGGCTGGGGGCTGGGTGGCATTGCGCTGGTAATGTCGACTCTCACGTTGCTCATGGTGTCCACCAAGCCAGATATGTGAAGTAGGCGAGGGCCATGTGCTGGCCACTTCCAGGCAATGGTGCATTACTTCATTCCTCACAAAGGGTGATACCTCCCCAGCTGCATTTCTTGCCTGTTTTTCTCCCTCCCTCATCTCAAGTATTTTCCCACCACTCTGTTCTTAGGAAGGAAGGAAGGAAGGAAGGAAGGAAGGAAGGAAGGGAGAGGGAGAGAGAGAGAGAGAGAGAGAGAGAGAGAGAGAGAGAGAGAGAGAGAGAGAGAGAGAGAGAGGGTCTGAGGGAAGTCCTGCCTTAGTCCTGCCCTGCTACCCTTTCACCATCCCCTTGCCCCCTCCTCCTGGCCTATCCTGGGGGTCTCCCATCCTATTGCTAAGGAAGCTTTGGATATAAAGCCAGGTCTCCTCCCATGGAGAGGGAGTGGGCCTCCCTCTGACTTTGCCCTCATACCCATCATGAGCAACCTGGCTAAGGGGAGCAAGCACAGCAGCAGCAGCCTTGAGGAGGAGGTAAGTGCAGCTGGGCGCCCCCTTGGGGAAATGGGGCTGGGCTTGGTGTCGCAGGTGCTCGAGGGCCAGGCTGGGTGTTTGACCTCTGTTGCCCAGGGCTCCGGGCAGCCCGCACCACCATCCAGCCCCCCCTCGCATGGCCTGAGAGGAACAGTGGGGCTGTTCCAGTGAACCATGCCTTGGTGCTTGCCCAGGTCCTACCCCCTTCTGCCAGAGACCCTCAGATCTATCCCACTTCTGCCCAGGCCCCCACAGGCACCCTTGACGTGAATGATGGAGAGCTGGCCATGCCCACTCAGGCCACACCCACTCTGGCCACACCCACCCAGTAGACCGCGCCCACCCTGGCCACACCTACCCGGCCCCCAGAGGACAACTGCAATGCTGATGCGGTCCTCAATGAAATTGAGTTTGACACCCCTGGATTAAATTATATCCTTTTTATTGGGGTGAAGGGGGTGGCTCTCATCAACTATAATTAACAGATTATATATGCAAGTTGTGTCAATATTTTAAGCATGTGCTTTGCTTACTACTGTGACCCACCTCTTACTTCTTAGAAAAAAAACACCTATTTTTTTGGATATCAGGTGCTTGCCACAATTTATATGCCCCTCTCCTGTGGCTAAGTTAGCAATTTCCTCTTACAGCTTGGTACTTTCTGAAGACCTTTTACCCATATTCTCTATCAATATCAGTAACCTCACCAAATTAAAGAAAACTTACAGCATCTTTACATATGTCTGTTTTCCCACATCGTTAAACAACATATATCAACTCAAATTCTACTATTATGAATTACCATTAAGCTTTTAATAATCTAAGGACAAATGCCTTTTTCATATTTTTTATTAAAGATTTTAATTGCAATAGTAAAAGTGAAGGCAAAGTAAACTCAGAAAAAGAAAAAATGCAAAAGTAAATAAGAAGGTAAAAGAAAAGAAATAGATAAAGAATGACTTCCAATCTTTATTACAAATTTGATAACTCTTCATCCCCTATAAGGCTACAAACAAATATCTAGTTACAAAAAAAAATTAGTTTTTCACACACATTCTCTATTTTGGCTTTTTGTAAAATAAAAGATAATATGGTGTAATATGTCATCTGCTGTTGCTCGTCTGAGGTATATTTACCTACTTCTTATAGCTAGCTATAGCACTTAGACTTATATTCCACTCCATAGTACTTCACAATCCTGCTGGGCTCACAGCAGGATTGAACTTCAGACTATGAGCAGAGTTAGCCTGCAACACTGCATTCTAATCACTGTGCCACTAGAACTGCTAGGGACAGATGATTTTTTTTTACTATGTCCTGATATGTAAAACCATAGAACTCAAAAGAGGATGTACTTTCTTATTCACATGACTGTATATCCAATAGAAAGTCCATAATAGGGTCATTCTCTTAGCTTCTCATTTGTAATTCTATTATTGCTGCCTTCTCTATCTTGTAATTCCCACTTTTTTGTATTTCCATTTTGATTTTCCAAACCTTAACCAAAACCATAGCCATGTTAGG